TATATATATATATATATTATACATATTATATTATATGTATAATCACAATATGTGGTTGCAATGATATAACAACTACAGCAATGCATTTCCCGCAATAATTTTCAGGATGTCTTCTGATAAAAATTCTGTAGGAATTATTTTTTAATAGCAGATTTTGTAAATTAGTTTAGTTAATTTCTTCTCAATTAAAATGCGACTTTATAATTTATTTTCATATAATCGAGGTTTAAGAGAAAGTATATTATTGATTTCTTCCGGAATTTAATTCACAAGTTTTTTTTTTTAAATCGTATATTACACGAAAACTATTATTTACGCATATAAAAAATTTATTCCGCGAATAAAATCAATCAGTCAATAAAATTAATACGAGTATCAAAGCAGGACATTTCGTATGCATTACTGAGTGGTGTAGTCGATAGTCTAATAACTATAAAATAATTATAATATACTTTTTTATCACAGTAATATAAGTCACTTGCTGATATAATGTACGCTTACTCATTTGAGATTAATATACAATATAATCGCATAATATATCTTTAAAATTTTAATTCAAACTCGTCAACTTCGCGTGATTGCCTTTATCGCAACATATCTGACAATTATCGATAATAAAAAAATGTGAATAGTGTATATACTTTCTATAAATATTAATACTTTAACGTGAATATTAATACTTTATAATACATATATTAGTTGCGACGAAAAAACCATCTATTACTTACTACTTCCCACTTCTAACTCATTTATTATATTATATTATATTATATTATATTATATTATTTTTCTAACTCATTTATATTGTTTTGTTCCTATAAATATTCTTTACGATTATATTTATAATCCGCTATTACTATTTACATGGATACATATGTCACGAAGAACGCGCATGAATCATAGAACTCAAAAGGCAAGCGACAAAAAGTAACAATGTCACACTTGAATTCGACGCCGAAGAAGTCATCTGTAATTTCAGAAGTTGCTCAAAATACGCCATATATCTCAAGAGATGCTCTATTGCATCCATGACACGGTTGTTTTCCTTGGATTCCTTCCCAGCGATTGTCGTTGAAATTGTAGTGGTCTCTGAGTTATCTTCGTTCTGATCGTCCATCTGTTTCCAATCACCGCATTTAGGAAAATTACGAGGCACCGGCGGCATCTCCTCGTCTTCGCCCACCTTAAAGATCAGGGCCATTCCTATCTCCGCGTGAAATTCAATGTGACAGTGAAACAGCCAATATCCTGAAAACATACACAATCAATTGATAATGCATCTCTTTATCAATCAATCTCAAAATAAGTATTGTATTTTATTATTATATTTTATCAAAGAAATTTACAAGCTTAAATTTTCTTTTCTCATTGAACTAGATATACTAGTTCCAAATGCTAAAGTTAAGTAAAATAGAGCCTAAATTGTAATAAAGCAAAATCAGGTTACATAAGCAACTGTGTAATTTCATCTATTAACATTTATTTTTTGTTCACATGTGAAAGAGTTTCTTACGCTTAAGATTTCTTAGTCTTGATTTTTTCCTTTCTTAAAACGCCATTTATCATTCGATGCGATATTTTTAGAGCAAACACTTCGATTATTTACAGTCAAACATTAATGCTTTGGTTTTTTTCTGGTAATATGCATGCCACGTAATCTTACCTGGATTATTGGCGTGAAATCGCACGATGGTGTAACCACCGTCTGGCACGGTCACCGTGTCCTTCAAAGGTGCTCGTGTGAGTGTCCTGTTTATCAAACCTTGCCTGTCTAATTCCTTTACTTCGGCGGCCGTGATGTTACTTCCTATCTTCTCCATCGCCACAACGCGGAACTGATAACCGTGAAGGTGAAACGGATGATTCGCGTCGTACGGAACACCTGAACAAAAATCGTTATTTATGGTTAAATTTAAAGAGACAAAGCTTATAGAGAACAAAAAAATACTTATGAAAGGAGATGCTCGCATACCTTCGTCGATCAAAAGTAGTTCCACTACACTGTTAATTTTCACTTGAAGTACATGGGTACAAGCACAATAATCATTCTTGCATCCCTCAACTGTGCTGGAGTTACAAAACTGATTTGGCTTAATAAGGTTTCTTTCGGGTAGAAGCGGAAATGGTGGTAGCTTCATTGATATGTGATTCAGTTGCGGTGTGAACAAACGCTGTTTCGTATCCTTCACTAAAAAAAGAAAAGAAAATCATAATCAAAATATTTTACAAAATAATAAACGCTTTAGATTTTTGAAAAAATAAATTTATGTATTTATAATGAGTACTTTATATTTTATTGTAATAAAAATTATTGAAAAATTATGCACAGAATGTGAAAGCTTATTTTTTAACAAATTCATATCTCTTTAATGCATTTGACTGTAAGTTTAAAATGTTATGTAAGTACCCAACTAAGTCGGCTGTTTATCCTAATATCATCGTTAGAACGTATCAATGCAAAGCTCATGCTTGTGTATATTTTCATACATCGAAAAAAGCACAATGAAATAGTCAAGTATTTGTGATTGCAAAGATATTAAAATAAAAAGCTTTAAAAAAATTATTTATTGTAACATTTTTGAACTTTACCTTGATGGAAGCCATATAGATTCTTGCGGTGAAAGTGCGGGTTATCTTTCGCGTAAAAATCATACGATATGTAGAACTTGAAGTACATGGGTACAAGCACAATAATCATTCTTGCATCCCTCAACTGTGCTGGAGTTACAAAACTGATTTGGCTTAATAAGGTTTCTTTCGGGTAGAAGCGGAAATGGTGGTAGCTTCATTGATATGTGATTCAGTTGCGGTGTGAACAAACGCTGTTTCGTATCCTTCACTAAAAAAAGAAAAGAAAATCATAATCAAAATATTTTACAAAATAATAAACGCTTTAGATTTTTGAAAAAATAAATTTATGTATTTATAATGAGTACTTTATATTTTATTGTAATAAAAATTATTGAAAAATTATGCACAGAATGTGAAAGCTTATTTTTTAACAAATTCATATCTCTTTAATGCATTTGACTGTAAGTTTAAAATGTTATGTAAGTACCCAACTAAGTCGGCTGTTTATCCTAATATCATCGTTAGAACGTATCAATGCAAAGCTCATGCTTGTGTATATTTTCATACATCGAAAAAAGCACAATGAAATAGTCAAGTATTTGTGATTGCAAAGATATTAAAATAAAAAGCTTTAAAAAAATTATTTATTGTAACATTTTTGAACTTTACCTTGATGGAAGCCATATAGATTCTTGCGGTGAAAGTGCGGGTTATCTTTCGCGTAAAAATCATACGATATGTAGAACTGATAATCCGGTTCTTTGGTATTCGATACGTCATCGTCGTCCATTGCAGTCAACATCGGGATACTGATACTATTATTCGATTCAGTTCCTTCATTCAGAGCGTTCACTTGCTGAAAATCGGAAACGTTGTCATTTTTAATCACTTGTAAAATAACTTTATGGGTAACGCTTGAAAGAAGGACATAGCAAGGAAATCGTGAAAACGTACCAATCCATAAGAATCATTTCGCACACGATCATATGAAACTTCCACTGCCGGCTCCTCTTCAGGCGCTCCTTCGTATCTAAGTATCGCGACTTGATAGGCGCTTAAAAATCTCTTGTCGCAATCCATCAGTCCTCGAAATCTCATCCAATAATTATCCACTGATTGGTTCATCTCGATTATGAAATCGAACCTCTCGCCGGCATAACTCACTAGCGATTCGGCTGTAATCATTACACAATATATAAGCAACATTTCAACATGTAGATCCTTTTTTATTGTACTTATTCCGCGAATTATTACTTATATATCTTACTTCACAAATCACACATACATTAAAAATTTTACTATAATCGTTAACATAATCAATTTCGAATCGTGTATCTCATTTTATTTAATAAATTGAATTAAAGTATATATTTTGTATGTGTAAAAATATATGCGTTAATTGCAACATTTTTTGATAATTTAACAAATAGTTATAGCATCAGCTTGTTAAAAGAAACTAAAAATAATATTGTGAATGTTAATAAACAGTTTCATTCATTATTATTAGTATTTTTTCGATATTGAATTTTATTATATTATCTTATCTATAATATCGATATTTGAACAAAACTGTCCGTTAACTTTCGCGTTTTTATTAAAACTCTCAATCACTCTTGTGTAGAAGAGTAACATGAAAATAAATCGTACCTTGTATTGGTTCAATATCACGTCCATCTGAGCTGATCACATATAAAGTATGGTTGTCGACGGAAATTTCTATTGGACAGTTCAGGAACTCCGCATTAATAAGCCTGAATCTATACCGAAAATTCTGTAAGCATAAATCGTAAAATTGACTGATATAAATATAAATTATATAATTCTATTAAAAAATAAAAAAATAAAGTTGATCTATTCAAAACTTGGAAACGACTCTACTTATATTAGGATAAAGTTACACTGATCATAAGACGCTACCTCAAAATAAATCAACTTTAATGTGAGACTTTTTTCTCTCTTCTTAAGTGCAATAAAGATATTTCAGACACTTTTTTAATATAGTTTTAATCAAATATTTGTATCTTGCATTTTTTTATAAATGAAACTATTTACAAAAATTTACAAAACAGTAAAAATTTAAAAATTTACCGGTTTTACAACGGATATCGAAATAGGCATATCGGCCAATGTCTCGTTTTCACCTTCGATGGAGGTGAAACGGCCCAGACCGTTTATAAGTAAAGCGCAAAAAAATATAAAATATAATTAAAAATAATAAAATATAAAAATATAAAATATAAAATATAATTAAAAAATATAAAATATAACCAGATAAAGAATGACCAAAAAATACATGGATATACAAGACTGAACATTCATTTTATAACACTAGGTTCAAGTTTATGCAAAAATTTATCCGCTAATTGGTATCATAATCTTGCAAAATTCTCAACATT